AACTTTAGCAATTGGTGTTAAAGTTGAAATTTTTAAGATTGATGGAATGGTACTGGTTTCTATAGAAGTATTTATGACATTAATTAAGGGCATTGCAACATTATCAAAACACTTTTTTAAAAATTCTGCATTTATATCATCAGGACTTCCTTTATTTGCCATTTCAAAAATAATTTCCTTTGAAGTATCTCTGTTGATTAATTTAAAACTTTTTAAGTAGATATTGTTAGTTCTATTTACAATAGGAAAATCTGGACCAATATAATCTATATTGTTGACTATTTCTTTGATACTGTCAACGTAATATTTATTTAAAACCTCGGGCATTTCACATATATCTTTCACAACTTGATTTTCACTCACTTCAATCTCCGTGAATATAAGTTCTTTATTATTTTTAGGTGTCATTTCCTTCAATATCTTCCACAATTTAACAGAGTTTTGTTTGTTATTTTCAATTTGTTGTTCATAGTATTTACTTTTTTCTCGTCGAATTACTTTAACTGCTAAATTTCTTGTCTGTTTGTATTTCTCTAGATTTGAAGGAGATTTGTTTAAAATATATGCCTGATAACTAATATCCCTAGCTCGGGTAGCTTTTTGAACAGTGTCATTCCACCAATTTTTATACTTGGGAAAAATCTTAATATCTTTTATTGGTGCTACTTCATCTAATATTTTTATAAGCTTTAAATAAAAGTCATTGTATCTTTGATTTATATCTAGTCTATAATTCCATTGTATTTCAGCTAGTTTTTCATTTATTTTAAGATAGTCAATATTTCTACTACGGCTTCTTATTACTACAGGTTCTCTATCATGTAAACTGTCATTGGTATAGATCAATATATTAAAATGTGTACTTATTTTCTATCTATACTAATTCAATGCCAAGAGACAAAAACAACCGCTGTTGTTTCTCATCAAAGTCTGAGTCCACTACCAAAGGCCACATTATCATATTTATCATACAACTTATTATTGTATACGATCATTTAAAATTAGTAATCCTTCAATTGTTTTGAGGAGTGTATATTTTCTCACAATTTGTATATGTTGAAACTATTTCTACTCATAATCAGCAAATGGTTAATGATGGTGAAAAAACTAATATATCGTATTAATATATCGTATTCGGTAGTGATGAGGGCTCTCGAAGTATGAATAGCTCTAATAGTTTGTGCTGACTCCAAATGAGGAATGGGGGTTTGTTGAAATCACTTGTTTGTACTGCATACAAACACTGTAATCTGTTAGTAAAGTCGGTAAACACATTAGTCGACTTTGCCTACGATTCGGTAATTAATGTGCAAGTTTCTCTACTCAGATTCAAATTGCTTTCTGGAAGAGGGCTTCAGCGAAGTGATGAGTATTGAAATTTAACAGGAAGTTGAGTTGAAATGTATCTTTCTCTCTCGAAATAAAATAAACATGATAGACAATTTTGATTTTCTTGGACACACCTGAAGGTTTTCGAGATCCTTATAGTTGCCCTCTCAGAAACTTGTGACTGAAATGATACAAACTTTTGTTTGAAGGTGATTGACAATGTTTCATGATGAATTTCATTAGTTCGGACTTCCATCGTCTGATATTATATAAAATGATTTTATTAAAGAAGCATAAAAATGAATAGCTGAAAAAAAATATATCATCAAAAAAAACCTGAAATGAAATGATAGTGAAATAAAATATAAGTAAAAATGGAACAAACTGAACGAAAAATGAAAATTAAATTAAAATTCAAAAAGAGATTCCAAGCCAAGTTATTTCACGACGTTTCGATTGTTAGTATCCACAATCGTCTTCGGTTGATGACTGGACTGATCCCCCCCCAGCAATGTAGCGAGGAGATCCTACTACCCCACTCCATCCACCCCCGCTCTCGGAGCGGTCCTCAACTTACTGATGGGCACTTCAGCAAGATTGACATCTGACCTCTTTTGGTCGAAAGTCAGCCTTTAGGTGCTATTCTTTCGCGATCGGTAAAAAGTGTTTTGTCTGACTATTCCTAACTGAATTTTTGCATGGGGGCCCCCAAAAACTAACTGGCGGCTATTGCTATTAACGTCAGGCGTTCCTCAGTGAATCTGAGGATAATTGGATCGCGGTCGAGTTGTTCTGCGGTGAACTTGCTGCAAGAAAATCTGATTAGTATGCTTACCGGAGTCGCCGGTAGCGACTACACGCGACTACGCGATCTACACGCATCGTGTAGATCGCGTAGCGCTGGGTTGTTGTGCGATCTGATTCTATCGAACACGCTTTCTGCGTGTTCTCTCATATACACGTCCACATATTGCGTGTCCAGGTTCAAGTTTCTGTATATATATTGGGATATAGTCTATTTGGGATATAGTACGGCGCGTTTACGGCGGCCCTTACGCTCGCGTTCATAAACGACTGTATCTGCTTCCTGTATGTATGTACGCACTGGCCCCAGGCGGTGCATGCATACAGTATTATGGGTATGAGGACTGTTTTGATCATTAGCAACTTCACTTTCAACCCCATGTTGCTTCTGCGTCCTATAATAGGTGCCAGTCGTCTGGCGTGTCTAGCTATTTCAATTCTCTGCCGTACATGAGACTGAAATGTTAATCCTGTCTAAGATGACCCCTAAGTATGTCGCTTTGCTGGTCCACGGAATCTCTTGTCCGTTGAAGGTGACGTTGCCTTCCGGTTGTACCAACCTGCGGGTGAACAGTATTGCCTGACTCTTGTCAGGGTTTATACTGATCTTCCACAGGTTGGCCCACTCCTCTGATCTGTCTGCCTGTTGCTGCAAATATCTTGTATCATGCGCTTGGTTCGTGGATCTCGCCAGCAGGGCCGTGTCGTTTGCGTATAGCGCCAACTTGTTGAAGTTGTTCTACGGCTTGGGCACGTCCGCTGTGTATACGGAGAAGAGGTGCGGCGAAAGGACTCCTCCTTGCGGGAACCCTGCTTCCAGTAGTCACATTGTTGATAGTTCGTCTCCTACTCTGCATCGGCATCGTCTGTCAGCTAGAAAAGACTGAATTAATCTTACTGGACTGATTTCTCCGCGAGCTGACTATTTATAGGTCATTTGGGTACTTTTACTTATCTCTGCTTACCTTTTTCCGCTTCACTGGTATAGTGGGAGATGATGCTCGTTTGGCGGGGGTTGGCCATTTTTCGCTTGATTATGGGTTTCCATATGTTGTGTATCTAAATGTCAGTTCACGGAGGAATCAGTCCAGTCATCACCTGAAGAAATTTTTATTTTATTTCAATTTTGTGTTCAATTTGTTCCATTTTTACTTGTATTTTATTTCACTATTATTCCATTTCAGGTTTTTTGCTTAATATAATTTGTTTTTTCAGCTATTCATTTTTATGCTATTTCTTTAATTTTTGATTGTTTTTTTTAGTTATTTCAGGAATTTCAAATCATTTTAAATAATATCAGATAACGGAAGTGCGAAATGATGAAATTCATCATGAAATATTGTCGATCACCTTCAAACAAACGTTGAATACCCGGAACGGACCTGGAACCAGCGACTTATTCCGAGGATATGAGAAGACTATGGTTAAGTTTATAAAGGAAGAAACTCACACCAGTTTCCTGTGCAGATCGAAAGACAACAACGTCATCCTCAAAGGTTTTCTGCTGAAATCGCCAATCCCAGGTGAGAGAGCCGAACGCATATTGGAACGTGCCAGCCGTGCACTGATAAGGTCTCAAATCAATGATCGCCGTTGGATGAGGTCAACTTTGTTACAGGATGCCACGGAACGATTTGAAGAAATGAGAAGAGAGACATTGGAAGAGGATCATGGACCAATCTTTGCCAAGATTGAAAGCACGTGCTTGAAGATTCGCCAAGCCATGGAGAATACCCACAACAAAAAGTGGAGGAAACAATGCCCAAATGCAGAGGGAAAACAAGACAACTATGAAACCGCTAACGTCATCAACATGAGTTCCCGCCCGCTAACGGGAATAGAGGAATCCTTGTTGAGAAAAGGACAGAGCTTCGCCATTGCGCCAACGTCTGTGCACACTTTAGAGATAATCACTGCAGTGGAATCTACCAGTTCCCTTCAACCATACCTACGCAGAAGAATTCAAATGGAAAATCAGAGAAAAGCTGGATCGAGAACCAGCAATGAAGAACGTAGAGCTCTGAACGGCTTACGTAGAGACAACAATATCAAGATCCTACCTGCAGATAAAGGAAATGCTACTGTGGTGATGGATACGAACAGAAGATCGAAGAGGTTTTTCAGAAGGGACAATACACGAAGATCGTACGGGACCTTACTGCATCAATTGCAAAGAGGAAGATTGGTTTAGGAGAAAATTCAAGGAAGCCGCATACATGCTGTCCAACAATGTATTCAGCCAAGCTAGAAGCTAGCGTAGAGATACGCAACATATGGAAATCAATCATCAAGCGAAAAATGGCCAACTCCCGCCATAAGGCATCTCCCACTAAATCAGTGAAGCGGAAAAGTCAGCTCACCGAGAAATCAGTCAAGTAATCACCCGAAGACGATTGTGGATACTAGCAATCGTAACGTTGTGAAGTAATTTGGCTTGGAATATCTTAATTTTTTATTTTCATTTTTGTCCAATTTGTTCCATTTCTACTTGTATTCCACTATTATTTCATTCCAGGTTTTTTTGCGTAATATAATTGTTTTTTCAGCTATTAATGTTTATGCTTTGTCTTCAATTTTCAATTCTCCCTTTTTAGTTCTCTCGGGGATTTCAAATCATTTTATATAATATCAGACCAATGGGAGTCCGAACTAATGAAATTCATGATTAACACTTGATACACTTTTCTGAATGTGTGTTTCACCAACTAAGATGGCATCATCAGAAAATGAGTTTCACAGTTAGTATAACTTATTCTCTTGAGGTTTCTACGCCTGAGATATCAATTCTATCAACTAGTATGTGTACCTTGCTTGAAAAGTATTCAAATTATTGAAATTCTCTCAATCACCATATTAGAAAATATCACTCAATATAGATAAATTTATATCATTTCAAATAAAATTCACACATTCCAGATATAATTATTGGCATATTTTTGAAACACAATTTGTACTCCACGATTCTCAATCCGGTATGTTGAGATTGAGAGACCCGGGGTTGAGAGCTTCTCCCAATTGAGCAGGAGCATCTGTAGTTGCTGCGCAAAACTTAAACTGGCCAACGTGACATACGGCAGCTAGCAGTGGTACCACCGTTTTGAAGATCTCGCAGAGTTTGTCGATGAACGATGTTATTTTTGTTGCGTGCTCTCCCATGGTGTTGCCTATTTTACTTGCCATTTCACCAAATTTCAGCAACTGACGACGCTGCAAAAATAAGTTTGTGAGCAGATGTAACTGAGAAAAAAAATGATAAATTGGGCAGTAAAATCATCAAAATAACAAATTTTAAAACTGATAGTTTACTGTTACATTTTCATACGGCAGTATATACCTGTTACAGCATTCTGGAAATGACTTTCGACTTTATGCCTCCAACTGTCAACTCCGAACTGCCTTATAGAGTACTATTCGCGAGTAGAGAGAACTGGGGTCTCCGGGAGAAGTAAATCTTAAGAGCGATGCGATGTCATTGACATTGCTTTAGGNTCCTTCCTTTCTTTGGAAGATTCTCTCATCCATTTTTTTTGTATCAGATGGAGTAGTAGAAAGCCAAAAACTTTCTTTCCCAAAAATTAATCACTCCTAAAAATAAAACCTTTTCAATTCACTTATAACCTTTCAATAGAGAGAAAGAGAGATAGAGGGAGAGAGAAAGATAGAAAGAGAGAGTGAGGGAGGGAGAGAGGAAAAAACAAAAGAGTATTTCTCAAATTCCGCATGTCAAATGTAAAGTTACTCATTACTCGCCTGATATGTTTCACCATTCAGGTTTTAATGTTCAGGATAATAAATCATTGAGGTTTGAGATACAACTCCAATTTGTTGAAAGACACAGATGACAAGAGGGCAGCTCAAACAATGATCAGAAAAATATGACAAAAAATCTAACAAAGGACCTGTTCAAACAAGTATAGTAAGAAAAATTGGTGGAATGTATAGATCATAGACCAGAAGGTTATAAATTGTCGTATGTTTCGAAATTTCACATAGATCAGACTGAAAAAAAAATTAAAGCACACATAAAAGTAATTACTATCTGGCTGAAACTTGGATATATCACTTCGCGCCCGAATGAACAACAATCGGCTGGAAAGGATATGTCCTTAGTATTTTGGGATGTGTGAGGTGTATTATTCATCGACTGTCTGGAGGAGGAAAATACCATCAATAGTGAATATTGTATAGCGTTATTGGAGCATTTGAAGGGCGAGATTGCAAAGAAACAAACGCATTTGTCAAAAAAAAAATTGTTTCATCAAGATAACGCACCGTGCCACAAAACAATGGCAAAACTATATGAATTGCTCCCACATCCACTATATCCCCCAGATTTGGCTTCCAGCGACTATTCAATCAATAAATCAATCACATTCATTGAATTAGTTTTCCTTCACAATCACATTAGACAAAAAAACATAACATCATCATAAAATACTGGCTGATTTAACAGGTTTAACAAACAAAAAAAAGATAAAAAGTCAATATAAAACATAAAACATATATAAAAAAAAGTTAATAAGCTGCAATCAAATTAAGTTTCAAGGAGAAACTCATCCACAGAATAGTATGCTTTTTGCAATAGAAAAATCTTGAGTCGCCTTTCAAGGATATTGATATTTGAGGATTTAATGTCCTCACTAAGCTTATTATTAAATAGCTTAACCCCAATGCACATGGGGTAATTCTTTGATACTGTCAATCTACTATAAGGTTGATGTAGTTGAGAGTTATTTCTGGTGAAATGTTCATGGATTTGCTCAATGTATAGATCATAGACCAGAAGGTTATAAATTGTCGTATGTTTCGAAATTTCACATAGATCAGACTGAAAAAAAAATTAAAGCACACATAAAAGGAATTACTATCTGGCTGAAACTTGGATATATCACTTCGCGCCCGAATGAACAACAATTGGCTGGAAAGGATATGTCCTTAGTATTTTGGGATGTGTGAGGTGTATTATTCATCGACTGTCTTGAGGAGGAAAATACCATCAATAGTGAATATTGTATAGCGTTATTGGATCATTTGAAGGGCGAGATTGCAAAGGAACAAACGCATTTGGCAAAAAAAAATTGTTTCATCAAGATAACGCACCGTGCCACAAAACAACGGCAAAACTATATGAATTGCTCCCACATCCACTATATCCCCCAGATTTGGCTCCCAGCGACTATTCAATCAATAAATCAATCACATTCATTGAATTAGTTTTTCTTCACAATCACATTAGACAAAAAAACATAACATCATCATAAAATACTGGCTGATTTAACAGGTCAAACAAACATAAAAAAGATAAAAATTCAATATAAAACATAAAACATACATAAAAAAAAAGTTAATAAGCTGCAATCAAATTAAGTTTCAAGGAGAAACTCATCCACAGAATAGTATGCTTTTTGCAATAGAAAAATCTTGAGTCATCTTTTAAAGACATTGATATTTGAAGATTTAATGTCCTCACTAAGCATTGAGGTTATATAGCTTAACCCCAATGCACATGGGGTAATTCTTTAATACTGTCAATCTACTATAAGGTTGATGTAGTTGAGAGTTATTTCTGGTGAAATGTTCATGGATTTGCTCGTTTCTAGTAATAATTGAAATATTGTTTTCAATATATATCAGTGTTTGGTAAATATACAAACTAGGCATTGTTAATAAACTATAACGAACGAATAATGGGCTGCAGTGTTCACTTGAAGATGCACCAGCCAAAATTCTGATTACCTTTTTCTGAATAACAAAAACTTCATCAGCTTTAGCTGATAAGCCCTACTGTTCAAGAGCATAGGAAATTATTGTCTGAATTAAACTGTGGTATAAAAGCTTTAGAACATCAAGAGAGACTGTTTATTTTAGCCGACGAAGTGAATATATGTTTACTGAGTTTCAGTAAACATGGAACTTCCAGGTGAGTTTATCATCAATATCAACAACTATGAATTTGGTACAATTAACTTATTGCCTGTTCGCAGACCTCAAACGGTAAGAAATTTTGCTCGAATGAAGAGTTTATTGCTGAAAGAGTCATGAGTTCAATCATGAATTGAAAACTCTTCATTTTCAGAAAAATTTGAAACTCAAACTTCTAGGAAGTGTGAGACTATTGAGTTCGAAAAGTTCCTATATCATTTAATAGGTCTTTGATGCTGAATTTGTTCTTTCGAAATATCTGATAGTACATACAGAATATAAAATATAGTTGGCTTGGTAGAAAAATAAGAAAGTCATTCAATATGTTCAGTTTGGTTAGTAATATGTAAGTTTCACTCAACATTTGTTTGAAGGTCACATAGCCAGAAGCAGGATGTTTGCTTCATATTTTCGAAATTCGAAGCGGGATAATCAACATTTTCGAACTCACATGAGATATATAAAATTACTTCTGATTTTTGTTCTGAACTTCCGACTTCACGAATGGAAATCGAACAAAATAAGAATGGTTATCTCCTCTATCGATGATAGTACACCCATACAGACTGAGTAGAGAATTGAATGAATAATCAATACAAAAATGAAGTCCTATGAAGGTCTAGAAAAGGTTATATTTGGGTCTGGTGGAGACGAACATGGATGTTTGGAGACGTACTATTTTGTAACATCGTATGTCTTCAAGACATCTTATGGACGTTTTCAGGACGTCTTTAGACGTCTCATTGCTGTCCGGGATAATCATCTTTTGTCTCCCTAAAATGACTAATTTATGATATTCGAAATTGTTGAGACCGGTTCATGATAACAAGATTTTAGATGCCCTCAAAAGTTTAGGAATTCAAAAATGTGGAATAGGATCTATGAACACTGATGAAGATCCTATTCCCAATAGTTCTTTGTTCACACTCTCACGTAATTACAGGTTGGAACAGGTGGAGATTAGGAATCATTAGAAACAACTACAAAATACTAGAAATCTATTGAAAATCCTTCACCATGTAAGATAATGATTAGTCGAAAAGAATATGAAAACATAAACGTAGCCGTTAGAATCAGCATTCTGATGATGCTTACTTGGTTACCGAAACTCGCGTCGAAAGACAGTCTTTTTTCTGGTGAGGGAAAAATGTTCCCAGGAGATGGAAAAGTCGTATCCACAAATATTGTGACTCTATTATGGACTGAGGATAGAGAGAAATGATTCAATTCAATGACAAGTAGCTTTGTTTTGAGATATCCACTCACCATAAATCCTGGTTCATTCTCTTCATTGCCAGTGGCTTTTGAATCAGTCTGTTGAATAGGCCAATGCGTCACAATGGCATCACTGTGAAACTGATTCTGTAAAGACTTGAGTTCAGCATTTTTGAAAAATTTGCACAAAATCACCAATGTGAAGACAAACACCAGTAAGTAGTTGAATTTCATCCTGAGACTTCACTTAAGAAAATCAGACTAGCCTTCAGGAAATCATTTCACAGGATATAATAATATATTGAAATGTCAGTTTCATGTAGCACGAAACAGCATAATCTAATGAAAAAATCATTTCGAAATTCGAATAAAACGGAAATCAATCCACATCAATATTTATTTCCAATGTTTGAAATAACTATTTTATATACGAATCTCCATTGCCGTTTATTTTCATTTTATGTATACCCAATCAATTTTATCGTATATTTTTCCCTCAATTGGGAAGTTCATGGTCCAGATCTACCGGACATATTGAAACTGAGCCAGATGGTAAAACAAAAACAAACTTTTTTGTATCAAATGTCTATAATGAACGTACTAAAAAACAGAAATTCACAATTAAATACCTCAAAACGAAATAACCCACAATAATAAACATAACCTATGTTTAAAATCTAGTTATACCAACTAGCTCTCAGTTGTTTGAGTAGTACCATCATCGGTAGGAAGTCTTCCCCATTCAATAAAGAATTTTCAAGACCAAAAAATATAATGTTATTGAGATCAATTCATTACAGCGAAATCAACAGAATAAATTTTCAATTCAAACATTCAAAATGTGTCTGTATTTCTGTTTGGGTTGCTTTGACGTACGATAAAGATTCCCAATCTCCTTTGGTAAAGTTTTCTTCTCCTCAGATATTTCATTTCCCAGGAAATCAACATCAGAGTCACCCCATTCGAAATCATCTTCAGTGGGTGGTATGTATGAAGGAATCTTCGGAGGATTTTCCACACCCCTATTCAAGTCGTCCTGTTCGATAGTAGTAGGTGGCAAGTTTTCGTCAGGTTTCGAGTGAGTGGGTGGGAAATTCGACGGGTATTGGGGAAAACCATTTCCGAACTGTGGATAATTATTCCAGTTTGGCGGGTAATATGCGGGGAAGCCTGGAGCTTGAGGAAAACCTCTTCCTTGAGATGGGTAGTAGGTTTGTACTGAGGGATAATAGCCCTGGACTTGGGGGTACCCAGTTTGAGGAAAGTTGTTGAGGACCCCACAAGCTCCTCTTGCTATTGGAAGAGCCTTCTCTCCAAAGTTTTTGATCTTGGTTCCCTGTAAAAAGTATTAATGAAGAGAAATTTTTACTGAAGCTGTATATTTGATGTGAAATCTAAGGTACATTTCAGTTTCACCGAATGGTATTTCTAACTGAATATCGTCTCACCAAGAAAGTAGAGCTACCTAATTTTTGAACACTTACTATATCAAACAGAATGAACTTTCTTATATATTTTTACATTAATACTCATATACTCATATATGTTCAAATGCTTAGCATGTTTAGTTTGTTGGTGAGAAGCAAAAAAGGTAGGATGGTTTTGAGTGTTTGTCGATTTTCTGTAATCGAAAACATGGATCGAAGATTTTGCATCGAATTTTGAGAAAAAACATTGAATATACTGCTCAAAAACACTTAATAATAATAATAGCCTTCATTACACAACAATTGAAACCAACTCACATGGTTAATTAGGTATGTTTAAAAGTTATATAGGTCCTCATAAGTATAAAGTTACAATTTGAGAAAATGAATAACCAAATTATAATATTTCAAATAAAATAAAATATCAGAATCAAAATTGATATCATACAAATTTGAAATGAAATTGAAATTATTTCATATGCTATAGATGGGTGACTTGAGGTACAGATTGGTTCTGACCAGTCGGCTGTAAAAAGTGTTTGTACTTCTAATTCTGAAATGAGGCACACATAAATTTATAGGAGATAACGCCTCCATAGCATCCACATTGTTGTGCAGTAATTTATACAGAAAAATTATTCCAGCAAGTTTTCTGCGTAATTCAAGACTTTCAATATCGAATGTTATGGTAAGAGATTCATATGGAATACCTCTATTAGGATAGATACCATAAGATTTGAAGTAAATAAACTTTAGGAAATGACGTTGAACTTTTTCAATTAATGTATTATAGCAATTGTAGAATTGAGACCATAGAACAGAGCCATATTCTAAATTTGATCTTACGTAGGCTACATAAAAAGTAAATAGAGCAGATATGTTAGAAAATGTTCTACATTTGTGAACTATAAAGCCATCAACTCCAAATGTGTCACTTATTTTCGATCTAATGTGGTTGGAAAAAGACAAATTGTGATCAAAATATACCTCAAGATCTTCAATTGAGTTACTTCGTGACAGTGAAATGATATCTACTCGATAATTGTACTCGATGAAATGTTGACAGTGGCATACGGTGATTGTATTCTGAGCCAGAAAAATGTTTACAAGACGTACAAGCTTTTCACAGAAGGTCCAGAAGATGTGAATGACTACGCTGATATGTTGCCCCTTTCGAAAGTTGAGAGGGGGGAAATATTTACGAGTACACTGTACATTTTTTCTATATCAGTCTGGTTTCGAATTCTTTTAATAACATTGAGCCAGTACATAGAAAAAAGAAAATGAATTCTTTCATTGTGTCCTTTTTATTGGTAAGTATCAAACCATTTGAAAATGTTATCTCTTTGATACACTGAATACATTATTTAACATCATTTATTTAATCAATAATTACATTTGCATAAAATTAGCTCCTTCTTGTTCAAAGTGTTTATTCGATTTTTCTGCACTTGTATGGCACTGTTTGGAACCTTTGGTGTAGTAATGAATATTACTGGAGTTTTTTCCCAACACCAAACCGTTATTTTCAACACCTCGACACGTGTTTCGATCACAAGTGATCATCTTCAAGAGGAAGATAAAACTTTTTTTCTGCCTTGACTTTTTCACAGTAAATTTTATAACGCATTTTTATTTTGTTTGAAACGAAGAAAAGAGAAATGAATTTTTCTATGTTTTTCACCACTTTTATTGTGCAAGTGGTAAAAAACATAAAAAGTTTCATTTCTCATTTCTTCATTATGATTTCCTACCACGTAGTAACGGCTACATCCATCAATTTATTTTTTTGATTGAAACGTTATCAGTTACTTCATTATTATTTTCTTTCACTACCGACATTTTATCGAAATTGCATCTATTTTTTATTCTTTCATACAGTTGGCAGAGTCTTAAAATGTCCACGTACCAGTAAATGACACCAGTTATTTCTTATAATAAGACGGAATATGTCTTCATCTAAAATTGCTATAATTCTTTTAATGACTTTAGGGCCTTTCGTTATCATGTTCATGTTCTGACAGATGATAGTCTTCTCAATTCAGATGATATCTTGAAGTACTTAACTGAGTCATTTTGAAAAATTGTTGAGTGGTGAAAAAAATGGACTAGGGATACATTGACGAATGTCTTATAACACCTTATACCATACTAATTGGAAAATAATACAATTATTATTCTTTCACAGGGTCGCCCAGGGTGATCCTGGCAAGACTGCATCCTTTGATTCCATCCTATCTCTTTAGGGATTGAGCATGGCTAGTTCTGCAATTGTCAAAGTCATCAGGCCGTAGGTGTCACTGGGTCCTAAAATTCTCAGTCCAGCCGCATCCTTGCCCAAAGACTTGGCAATGCGATTATCTACCAAGGCTTTGGCTTAATCTTGGTGGCACTCTAGTACTAGCCCTGAGGTAACACGTATCAGTGCAGATTGTTATGTTTTTGGCAGAAATTTTTTTCCTGGTTATTTCTTTTGTGGCGATTGACATACCAGCCAGTTCTGTTCAAACCACGCTGGTATTTTTTCCCATTCCCCACTCAATCCTTAGGCTTAGTCATCTGGAGTACACTCCACATCCCGAGCCTTCTTTGGCCTTGTTGTAGTAAGATATGGACTCAGATAAAATATGTTCAACACGTATGGCACAGTCACAAACTTCACATGTTGGAGGGTTATTACCGCTGAGGATGTATTTATGAGTGAGGCGAGTGTGCTTTAGTCGAAGACGTGACAGGATAACTTTTTCGTTTTTGGAAGTGATTTCCAGAGTGAGAGCAATGGTTTGATTGGTGATAACTTAAAAGTGGATCAATTTCATTGCTGTTGCCATATATGTTAGTAGGGATTTGTTTTATAAAAAGGTTTCAGGTCAGGGTGGGCTATTTTATTTTCAATACCTGTGAGTCGGTTAGTAATAGCACATTTTACCAACTGGTTGTCCCTTTCGTTACCGGCTGAACCAACATGTGATGGAACCCACATAAAGTTGATATGTTTACGTTTCTCGATGAGTGAGTGGAGTTCTAGTTTGATGTAGTGTATGATGGGGTGTTCTAGCTTTAGCTTCGTTATTGCCTCGAGTGTACTCAATGAGACGGTTATTACCAAGAATTTTGAATAATCGCACATTCAAGTGCTTTCCATATGGCATACGGTTTTCCTAAGAACACTGCTTCCTACTGGTGGTGTGAAAGAGTAATTGGAGGTAGAATTGATGAATGCTGCCCCTACCCCTTCCTCTGATTTGGATGCCTTGGTATATATTGAGATACAGCTTTCGAATTGCTGCACTTATTTTTGAATAGTTGCGTGAATTAGACTATGGTTGGTGTTATTTTTTTTTCAATTGAACGAGCCCTTTCTTAATTTTAATGCTTGGAAAGGTCCATGGAGGAGAATCAGGAATGAAAAAGAATCAATTCTCTCGTCGAATGGATTTGCCACTCTCTTCCTTTCTGAAAATGTATTTCTGAATCTTTAAGCCGTAACGTTATGGAAAATAGGGTTATCTGAGTTAGAATCAGTTGCAGCAGCGTATGTGAGACAGCTGTTTTCTTCAGATGTTCAATGGAGGTTTTTCTGACTCACAGTATAAATTTCCAACCAGACTTGTGGAATGCTCCAAGGGAAATTCTAAGAGCACAGTTTTGGATACAAACTGAGTAGAGACAATTGTTTTTTTTGTATAATTCAGTGTTAACACAAAAGTATTTGTTTCGAAAGAATTTTTCTTTCGTGTGATTCAAAAAATGTCTTACGTTTGAAAAACTCTTCGAAATCTTTCACAACTATATTGACATGAACAAAATATTTGACTTGAACAAACCAGTTCGGCTGTTATTTCATTAAAAACTCCAACCAAAAAATTT